TTTTCACTCTCTTTTAGCTCCTTTTTTGGTCTGGTCTGGTTTAGTTGCTAAATGCTCCATTGTGTTGACCAGCTAGTCACTAAGGGTGCCTGCCGTTAGATGCTGAGCAGGCAGTGTACAGTGGGGTTTTTGGAGCTTTATTGCTGTAAGAATGAACCAACAGTAATGTTTGGGGCCAGACAGATAATCAATGAGCTGAAACTCGCTATAAAGCTCCGTAAACCAAAGGAAGCAGCAGATTTGGATGAATATTATTTGCAGGTCATCACTATGACCCATTTCACACATTGTTTTATATTGTCATTTATACATTATACATTATATCATTATAAATAATAGTAATTATAGAATTATAGATGCTAACCCTGCTTTAGTTGGTTATTTCTTCTTTCCCAGAAGGATGTTTTACACCCCCCAGAGTAAAGCTGGACAGCAAACACAATTTATTGATTTTCCAGCATGGCCAAATTAAATAACCTATATAGTTATAGTAACAACGAGTAATGACATCTAACTAGATGTCAAACCAACCAATAAGCCTGACTGAATTTGTAACTGGAATGGGCATTACCAACAGCAACAGACCTTTTTCATGGCAAAGAACAGCACTGGTAAAATTATTAAAATAAACAATGGCTCAATTCCATATGGCATAGTTTCAGTTCCAGGGTATTGTGCATGCTGCCTCACTGGCGTGGCATAGGAGCCACATAAATGGATCAGAACCCTCATTAGTAACACCTGCGATTCTCCTGCTATGACATGTCTGCTGTGAAAAAGTCTACAGCATTAGCAGAAAAATCATGCCATTAGTGGAAAACACAAAGCATCCTTTGGGTGCATTGGTGTCTTTTTCTCATCTATGATGGATTTCTGGTTCCTGTATCCTGGTTCCGGATCTCTGGATCACCTTCAATTAGTTCAGCAATAAAACCAAATGGTAATTCTGTATCAATCAACATTTGATTTTAAATATAGCTAAAAAGAATACCTGTCAATAAACTCCTGTGTTTCTGCTTTGATAATATGTTTACATGAATCACCTATTGGGTTGTATGTGGAAGTCGCACAAACAGTATGGCTGTCAGCTGCTT